ACTACTTTTTTCTTCGATATGGCCTTTGATTATTAACTAGGTATCTACTTAAACTTTTATTCTTTATAATTCTTAATTTAGTAGTACATTACGGTTAGATTAAGAGTTGTGCCTCGATGAATATTTGAAGGTTGGGTGTTGGGTGATGATGTGTATAATGCAATATTATCAGAATAATGACGATGTTTATAAGCAATTAACAACAAGAAGTCTTTCTAGTAAATCTTGAAAATTTTCCAGGTCTATTTAATGAAGAAGTATTATAGGCTAGGTATTGCTATCTCCTTAGTAGGTACTTAAGGTGGGGACAGAATATTCTTTTGGCTCCCTTGGTGGTAAGTGATTACCGTCACCCATGAACAACTGCAACACTAGTTTAGTTGCAAATGTGTTGCCGGCAAAAGATAGAATATTCTTATAATCTTCTAACCAATTGTTTTGATCATTAGAGGAATAGCAGTTAATTGAATGCAAGGCACATCAAAATTATCTGATTATTCCCCAAACTAGAAATGGAGTACAGGGAGTAAGAGAATGACAAAACATTTACTAGCTCTTCTTTTTCTGATAGTTATTTTCTTGTTCAAGCTGCTATACTGAATACATAAATGTTGACAATGATTTTTTCTCACTTGCATTGTTTGACTGCACTGGTCTGAATCCTACCACGGCGGAAAAGAGTTTTTATTACAAGCAGAATTTTTAAAAGAATTGATATGTCTGTAGATATCTTTAAGAGATAAAAACTTTTAAGTAATTTTGAAAACAATGACAGATTTTGGCTAGGTAAATGTCCATCTAAGTTGGCGGAGCTAGAGTGAAAGCCGAATTAGATCTTTTTAATTTCTACTTTAATAGAAGTGAGTTATTTTTCTATGCAATATAAAAATTTGTCATAGACATAACTATTGGGATGTGATCACTGCCAAAACTAAATGGGAGAGTTTTTCGGTTGGGTTGACAAATAAAATCTGGGGAAAAATTCTGATAGGTTGATAGTCATTTACGTGGCACAGAGTGACTACATTTGTATTTCTGAGCTAAATATTTATTTGAAATTAATCAAAATTGCTTTGAGATCAGATTTCAGATTCAAGACACAAATGAGATTTTCATACAAAATAAAGTTTAAATTTTTAAAAGAAACTTGTAAACAAACCAAGCATATTAAATTCTCTAAAAAATTTTTAAAACGAAATAAATGTTTCCAAAAAATAAGAGCATAGGAAAAATTGCACAAGTGACATAAAGGATAATTAAGTTTGCCTTACTTGTCTTATTGAGTTAACAAACGATCTTAGCATGCTTCATTAGAGTTAACTTGTCGTTATTACTAGCTCCTGTACCCAAATTTTGATTCCTACAAAAGGCAAATTTTTGTAATAGCTGTGGTAATACTTTAGAATAGTTCCATGCTTACACATAACAATCAAAGTCTTTATTTTTAACTTGTTTTAATGAAAGTGGTTCAGAGTACAAATTTGTTTCCATTACAGCTTACCCCCCTTTTTTTTCAGTAGACGAATTTGAAAACAAGTGAATCGAAACAAGGTTCCTCACTTGTATCCATCTAACGTTTGCCCATTTTAAAAACGTGCCATCCATGGGTTTTAGCATGTTTCTAACAGAGATATTTCGCATTGCCTTAAATTATTTCAATTCTAAATGATAATCAACCTTAATTTCATCTGTTCTTCATACTATTTCTGATTCTCTTTCTGTTCCTCTTCACGTAACTACTCAAACTTATGTATGACATCAGCATTGGTCTTCTCTCGGATTGTGAAAAATCTATATTTTTTGCCAGGATCAATTCTTTGTATGAAGTTGTGCAGATAGAGTCCGTTATTATCCAATTTTGTTAACATAACTTATAGAATCAGCCCCTTCTTGTTGACTTTGACTAAAGGAGTTTACTAATTTTGTCACTTTTTTTAAAAGACTTAAGTGGAAGATCCATTGTGTTTGGTGGAGAGGGTTGAATATAAGATAATTTCTTGCTTTGGGGAAGGCTGAATTTCAACATCTGAAGGAATGTAATTAGGATATACCTTAGAATTAAATATCTTCAGAGTTTCTCACTGTTTCGGTAATGTTTTATTATTTGTATTTGATGTGGCAGTTTGTGTTTCTAATAGGTCTTAACAATGGCTGCACATAGGTGATTAGTGTAAAAAGTGGTGTAAGTTCTCTACTTTGAATTAAATAAGCTCTTCAAGTGGTATTTATTTCTTTAATTTATATTGACATTGGTGTCAAATGTGAGGCTAATGAAACATCTTTGGTACCTACTATTAGAATAGAATATATTTATTCAATATAGATTACAAGTAAATAAGTCATTTCTTAATTTTACCACTGGTTTGGAGCAAGCCCCTGCCCTGGGTAGAACCAGCAAGATACCCACCGGAACTTTTTTTCATAATATATCATACAACATAAGTAACATGTATGACTACTCATAGATATTATAACTCAGTTGCACTTTGCACCCACAATATCTTCTTCTAGCCTGGTGGTAGACTGGTAGAGAATGCATTGTTGCATTAAGTCCGCCTTTTTGTACTTGGTGTGCAAATAAAGCATAAATAAATAAATAAATAAAAATATATAGACATACATCTGCTGTGATGACTAAATATCCTCAGGATCATGTGGACATTCACAATCATATGCGCATACGTCTTTGTGGCACATTAAGTTTGCCCCAATATCCAATAACATTGCTGTTATGTCTATTATCTAAAATTCTACGTCCTAAAAATTATTTCAGACTCTACCTTAAGACAAATGATATTTTGTAATTTATTCAAAAAGTAAACACTATTAAATTATAAAAAAATTGAGGTTGCTTACAGTAGAATCCAATGGCTTCTTAAATCTACGCAAACACTGCACATTTAATAAAACTATTAACGGATTTTATCACGTTTAATTAACTATTTAATTTAGTTTTAATCCTCACAAATCCTCAACAAGAGAGACCACATTCACAATCTAGCTTGCAGGAGTGTACAAGCTAGATTGTGAATGTGGTCTCTTACGTAGGTCAAACAAAAAGTTCTATAAAAACCCGCGTGAAAGAACATATAGGTGACGTGAAGCACCGACGCTGCGGGAAGTCTAAACATGTTCAAGATCGTGCCCACTATTACATCAGGTTTGATAAACCACAAATCCTCGCAAAAGAACACCGATTCCTACCAAGGATGATACGCGAGGCTATTGAAATTAAAAACATGCTAATTTCAATAGAGAAGATGGTTGGGTGCTGCCATCTGCTTGGGATCCTATAATTAACAAAATTAAACCCAAACCCAAGCATGCCACTGCAATACTTCAAGATACTGTAAGCTCTTTCTGCCTAGATTGGACCAAAAATTAATATTCAAAAACTGAAGGTAGCCGGGCTAACTATAACATTGGGACGTCAAACATCTCAGTCCCCCTTGTGTTCATGGGTGCTGTAAAGCACCCGAAACGTCGGGAATTAAAAATAAGTTAAATAGTTAATTAAACGTGATAAAATCCGTACGAGGGTGACACTGAAAGTTCTTAGAAAATTAAAATTGGAACAAACTAGCAAGTTATTAGTTTTATTTTATCTTTTCAAAATAGTGTCCATTTACATCAATACATCGCTGCATCCGACGGTACCACTGAGAAAAGCACTTTGTTCACTGGTCATTAGGGGTCTCTTCGACGGCATTTTGCTGCTTCCTTGACGTCCATAAAACATTCACCTCGAAGTTTTTATTTTATTTTCGGAAATAAATAAAAATGGAAAAATGGGAGGTCGGGGCTATAGGGCGGGTGCTTCAGTAATTCCACGTCTGACGTTGCCAAGTGGTCGATTGTTTGCTTGGCGGTGTGCAACGAGGCGTTGTCGTGGTGAAGGAGGATCCTACTCCGAGGTCGTTTCTCCTGAACTTTTTCTAAGACAAGTGGCAAACGATTGTTAGTGTACCACTCTGTAGTAACTGTTTTTCGTTCCTCTACAACAATTGTTGCGTAATGATCTGTCCTTCCGAAAAACGAGGCTTCGACTTCTCTTTACTTTAGTTGGCAACTCCTCCAGCAAATAAATCCAGCTTTCCTCACCCGTAAGTATCACACACTCCTAAATCTTAACCTCGCAGGCCTTTGAGGTCCTCCTCCGCTTCCATCTGTTCTCTTGTCAGTCTCTATCATACGCCGTACAACACTGATGTTATTTTCAGTCGTCGCCGTAGAAGGCCGTCCCTCACGCAGATCATCGATGAGATTCGTGCGACCACGTTTAAACCAGTCATTAAACCAGTTGTAAACAGTGGCACGAGATGGGGCTTCATCGTGAAAGGCCAATCGAAGTCTATCATAACTTTCTTATTGACTTAAATGACATCGAAAGTCATAAAAAATCATTCTCGCCTTAAATTCGTGCTGACGTGACAGACAATTTTCAATTTGCCGCTAAATCGTAAAAAAATGACAAATTATTAAAATACATACACAATAATATTGGCAAAGATTTCAATTTTCAAAATTTGAACTTATTTTTTTTTATATCGTTTACAAGTGGCCAGTTCTAAAAACTTTCGGTGTCGCCCTCATAAATAGAGTTTTATTCAAAGAATCCAATGACATTAAAAAAAATAGCATTTGATTTGAGACCCGCGATATATTAAGTCAGATTTCAACTTCTTCAGAGAATCATTGCTCGATAGGAATATGGTGCACATAGCTGAATTCAGAGACATTATTATTAAATAACTTAGTCCGGGTGTATTGAAACTTTCAATGATTTAGGTACAATGCAATTGCGCAACCGCATTGAAATGTATTTAGACATTATAGTTTCATTGAAGCCACCAATTTGAAAGCAATATTAAACTCACTGAATCGAAATAGGATAAATTTAGTTTTGTTGTAATATCGAATCGATCTTTTTCGATTGATTCGATCTTTTCTATAAACTTTTCTTTTGTTTCAGTTACAATGTTGATTTGACATTTACACCAATGATTTTAGCAGATTCATTTTGTCAAAACGCTAATGCCCGCTTAAATGAATTTTCAACAACTGAAAGTGACAGTCCCTTGATAGTACAATTTGCTTCTAATAATGTAAATGATTTTGTAGATGCTGCTAAACTAGTGTATCCATATGCTGATGGTGTTGATTTAAACTGTGGTTGTCCTCAAAGGTGGGCAATGAAAGATGGTTATGGATGCGCATTATTGTACAAACCAGAAGTTGTCTATGAATTGGTAAAAGGTATAAAAAACAACCTTCCAACCAACTTCAGTATATCTGTGAAGTTAAGAATTTTGGATGATTTAAAAAAGACTGTAGCATTGTGTCAGCAGTTGGAAAAAAGTGGCATAAATTTTTTAACAGTCCATGGACGCACTCCTTCACAAAAGAACAGTGACAACATTGACACTAACGCGTTGAAAACTGTATGTGAATCAGTTAAAGTACCTGTGATTGCAAATGGTGGCATAAAAACATTAGAAGATGCTGATAATTTACATAATATAACTAACTGTAGTGGTGTGATGGCTGCAAATGGTATTTTGGTCAACCCAGCTCTATTCAGTGGTGCAAAAACGACTCCTATGAGTTGCGTTAAGTTGTGGATGGACATGAAGAATAAGCACCAGGATAAAATAACATTTCAGTGTTATCATCACCATTTGGTTTTCATGCTTGAGAAAGTACTGACGAGACAACAGAAGCAAGTTTTTAATTATCTTTGCACATTTAAGAGTGTTGATGAATTCATAACTACTAACTTAATAATACCAAGTGATTTGAATACACATTATAATATTGATAACTTTGTGACTTGTGACTATGCTGATGAAATAACAATGAAACATACTAGTAAATGTCGACGTTGTGGCAAAAGCATATGCTATTGTAGCTGTACCAAATATGATTACGATTTAAATACCGGAAGTTTCTTTACTTCATATGTACAGAACTTTGACCATTTAGATTATATGGACTGTAATATTTTTGAGGAAACAATTTGAATTGGATTTATTTGTTTTCTTATCTTTGATAGCGTCGAAACTTTTTCAATAATGACTACTGAGGAATTAATAAGAATATTAGAAGGAAAAGTGTAAATTACAGTAGAACGCCGATTATCCGAACGCCGATTAACCGAATCGCCAATTATCCGAATCGGTCCTAAGCGTAATATAAAAAATTAAAACCAAGTACTGTAAGTAAGTAATGTAATTTTTGTTTTGTTTTCTTGTAACAAGTTGGACCTCGCTGGAGTCCAGATATATTTCAAGTGTTATGGTTGAAAGCTAGAGGCAAGACACTACATGTTTTGTGTGTGAGTTCGTTTTTTTATTACCAGTATGTCCGATACCGATTATCCGAATCGATCCCGGTCCTAATTAATTCAGATAATCGGCGTTCTACTCTAATGTTATTTAAGAATTAGTAACTGATTAGCAAAAAAAAAAAAAAAACAATTGTGATTCAAAAATTTATTCTAGGTTTATTTATAAGAAAAAGGAAAATAACTAGTCGATTTATAAGAGATTATTGCGATATAATTTTGATTTAAGGCTGATTTAAAATAAAAATAAAATAAAATAAAAAACTTTGGCTATTTTTTAATCTATACAACGATTGCTCCCCCTTATTTATTGTAGGTATTATTTTATCGATTTGTAGCCACGTGCTAAGAGCATGTAGCCAAGCCCAAGCCACGCGCTTAAAGGGTTAAGTTTAGTTGATATCAAAAAGATTTATATATATGCCATAGAGCGGACATTAGGAACGTTTGCATACAAAAACTGTGAGCTCGTGCGTGTGTGATACCCTCTAGCGAAATATAGCAACACTACGCTGATAAATTATATGTTATGTGCGTTATATAAATATATGGAAAACATTTCAGCTATTCCCCATTAGGTGACGCTAATAAATATAAGGTAAATACATAACATAGATTGTAAATAATCGGTTTTTTTAAGATTAATTTTCCCGTTTCGACACACACGACAAAGTATCGATAACGTTGTTGAAGGTTACTTAGTTTGAAATGCATTACGATATAATAGTAGCGAATATGCAGGATTGTTTTATTGTATAAATCTTATTATTATGGCTTCTATTACACATAAAAATCATATTACCTTTTTACGCCACTTTAGTGTCATGAAATAAAATACTTTATATAACTAAGAATCAACTCAAACAGCAGTCACATTATTGGCATCTTGGATGTAGTCGCTCAGTCTATTAGATGCTATAATAATAGCATATCGTAGCACATCGAGATACGCCAAATGCAATAAGAGTGCCTCTATGTTTTTGAATTCGTTTCTTTTACAAAAATGCATTTTCTAGCATACTTGTAAGCAGCTGGAGAGTAATAATGGAGAGTTAGAGCAAATTTACGAAAAGAAGGATTAAATTTACGACGAGATAATCCTGCCTTCGTCGATTGCTTATTGAGTCTATCATAGACGGCTTGCGTTTCTACTGTAGCATTTAAGAAATTAACCATATTTTTTTTAAATATCAAACTTCTTTTCTAAATGTTTAACTAAATCTTTTAAGTTTAATATTTTCCGTTTGAAATATATATTTTGTTGGCCTAGTTTTTAAATTTTAGCCTTATGGTGTATTTTTTGTTTTTGTAAATTGCGAGTTTGCAACTTCAATGCAATTTTCCTCTGACTATCAAATATTGACTCAGAGTTTGACACTGATTGGTGTAAACTCTGGTAGCCTCCGCATTTGTTTCATTATTCTGCAATTATAAAAAGGTGATGTCAAGGAAAAATAAAATAAAATCTGTGGTTAAGACTAATAGGCAAATGTTCAGCTTTTCTTGGCTGTACCGCTATAAATAACATACAACTTACTTCACTTGCAAAACGAGAAAATGCTCCTTTTTTAAATTGTACGACCAGTCTTTTCGTAGTACATATCTTCGCTTCTAAAGTGCTTTGAGCATAATTTTGATATAGCAGATGGAAGCCAATTTTCTTCTCTGTGCTTTATTTGGACAAACCGTATCCACTTTTCACGCACTGCGGTATTAACTGACGGAAACCTAAAATTACCAGATTCGTGCTTATACAAAAACCATAATTATCATGCCGGTTCATAGAACTCTGTAAGCAAAAGGTTTTAATAATATGATATGTTTGTAAGCAGTTTGTAAATTTTATATTATTATGTCAATTTAATCAGACGCAATACTTATAGACCCACATCAATAAAAAAACCGTCACTTTAGGTTTTAATCTTATTTCCTAACTCATGCTTAACCTACAACTTCTTGCATCTTATATCTTTAACAGTGTAAATTGTTTATAATGTTACAAACCTATAGCCCTCCCCTATCAGTGTAAGTCAGGATCTATAAGGCTTCGTCTTTGAAAACCACTAGACAATGAAGCCCGGTGTGTAAAAGCACAGCAAGTATCCTCAGCATGCTCAAAAGCAACACAGAAAATCTCATCAGCATGTGTAAACAAACATTTTCCCACCCTTTCTCCACATAAAGTAAGCTATTAAGCATAGTTGGTATATGCTACTCATCTTTGTTAGTATGGGTACAGTATCGTTGACTGTTTCACCTCCTTAAATATTGTAGATGATTAAATCTGCATTCTGTATTTTTTATCGATAACGCCAATCGTCAATCACTAACACATTTGTAAATAAATAGTGATACTACTGGATAACAGAGGGCGCTTATGACAAAATAATAAATGTTCTAGAAAAATCAACTAGATATATTAAAATTAAAAGATTATTTTGTAAGCATACACTATAATTACGATATATTATCGTAATTATAGTGTATGTATAACCGAAATCACGTTCATTTTTTGCATTTTTTGGCATATTTTCTTTAAAAATAATTTTTAAATATACGAAACGATTGCGTCTTGACCTTTTGACGATGTCACTAAGACTAAATGACAAAAATCGGAGATATATACTATAGGACAAAAGTTACAGACGTCAATTTTATTGCTGATGTCCGGTCTATTACTATTACTACTTAAATGTCTTTCGTTGATATCAAACATCAGTTGCAAACGTGACTTTTTTATGCATAGATTACAAACCATTTGTACTATTTTTGTTTTGAGTAGTTTTCAAAATATGTGTACCTATGTTTGATATAAATTGTTTCGTTAGAAAATGTCAGAAAATGGTAAAAGCAAGCTGCATTCACTCGGATAAAGACAGGTATTTTTAACCGACTTAATGAAAGAAGGAGGTTATAGTAGTTATGGTTTATATTTATTTTCAGATAATTTGTAATATCTTTATAAACTTAACCACTTATGTAGAAAGGAAAACAAAAATTAATCGTAAATGAATCACTCTTTTATTTATTAAATACAAAAGTTGCATTGCTATGGTCAACTGTACTTAGTAGCTGAAAAATACATAAATTAAAATTAAAAATATGTTGTGTCTTCCTCGTTGGCTAATACAAACTCTGGAGGTTCTTTCGATACTTGTAACAATCTAACATGTTTCACTATACAATCTTCTGGTGCTATATCAATGTCTTTGGAAACTTAATATTGAATATTTGAATATTTTATATTTGATAGTTTTGAAGTAATTTAATCTTGAAACGTTTATAAGTATTATCTATTTGTTCAATTATACCGTTATAATATATCCAGATTTTTTTAAATGTAATATCTGGTTATAGTACTATTTCCCATTCGTTTATCTCGCATTTCTCGTTGTGAAACTCATCTTGATTTCCAATGTCAGGTTCAGTTTCAATTTCTTTTACGGGTATTATTTGTCCATTGCTTGTTTTTTCATTTAATATTTTACCTTTACTGCTTCTTGAGACAATATTTTCTCCAGAATTTTAGCTACAAACTAAAAACGATAATCTGTAACCTCTTATCGTTTGTCAACTTTATTTTTAACCGTTACATACAGTATCCCTGTTACCTTATTTTCATACTTTACACATAAGACCACAGTTTTACCGTCTACACTTTACTGAGGTCAATAAATGTCAAGAAATTGTTTGTCACTAAACATGTAAACTGAACCTAAAATGTATTTTTCTTCAAAATTAATCTCATTTACTAGTAGATTGAAAGCGTAAATGTATTAATCTTGTTACAATTTAACTATATTACAATTGCAGTAGCTGAATTCTTAAAATAAACCACTTACTTTTATTGCGAGGATCTCGTCAGGAAACAGGTAATTTATTGTTTTCACAAACGTCTCACTGATTATAAGCTGTGTCTCAATGACAAAAATAATGGCGGAGTGTCATTGTGATACTTTTCGTGATATGACCAGTGTTGTCAGTTATTTAAGTTAGTTTCTACAAGAAGTGACACAAGAAGAAGTTAATTATGTCAAAAAATCAGTGTCACGCAATTGTTTCGATTGTTAAGGACATTTCTAATAATGATTATTTTTAGTTTATTTATCATCAATTTATATAATTTCATCTAATTGACATAACACTCAAACATTGTTATATATTTATGGCACCAAAAACTACTATGTTTTATACTAAAATTTTTATTAAAAAAATATTTTCCAATGTCTTTTAAATAGGGGACAATAAAAAATGTATGGGAATTTTTTGTTACTTTTATTCACATTCAACTTATACTAGGATTTTTATCGCAATTCATTGCTTTTTATCAGGAATAATATCCAGCTTTGGTTAAAATAGCCTGTACAATGTAAAAACGTGTTTTATTTTAGGCGGACCCATATTTTTTTCAAAGATTTGTTACGAGGACAAATATTTTAGTAGTATAGTGTGAATGTATAGTGAAAATGACTTATAAAAAACATAATTTAGAAAAAAAAATTATGATTCAGTGATATTTACAAATATTATATATTATTTATTGTTATACAAAAGTTATATATTAATTATTTGTTATATATATAATGTCGCAACCAACTAGCTTTAATTAGCCGTTCAATCAACAGCCTAGCCTCAACTAAACATCGCCGATGATGTTTCATTACTTGCCTAGCCTGTTCATTTCAATTTAGTTCTACTTTCTGCCACCTAGCTCTGAAACTCTCCAAACTGTCAATATGGCGTCGGCAAACAACAAATGGTGTTTCCCGAAGTTTAATGTAAAATAGTACAAGCTATCGTACCGAACTAGCTTAATTAGCCGTTCAATTACAGCTTATCTTTTTTATGTGTAACTTGGGGCCAGAATGATGTTCAGCCGCTGCTATAAAATTCCTATTTGCAACAAAACAAAATTCAACATAAATACACAAGGGCCGTGGTAATTAGATGGTTAGCGCTCGCTGTAAGTTTTACAGTAACGAGAGCTACCCGGGTTCGATCCCAATGAAATTGTTAATTGCCAGCACCAATGAAATTGTTAATTGCAATTTTAAGTGCTGATTTACCACTTGCTCCGCGGTGAAGGATAACATCATGAGGAAACCTGAGCATGTCTGAGAAATAAGAAAAACATTTTCGAAGACATGTGAAGTTCGCTAACACACATTTGGGCTGCTCGGTGGACACTTCCTTTCCCTAAAAACCATCTCAGATATGAGAGGAGGTCTGTGCCCAGCAGTGGGACGTATATGTATAGGCTGTAACTTAAAAATTCAACATATATTTGTAAGTAAATCTTTTCTTCATTCTTGTTCCGTTGTTGCTTTTTCAAATGCTTCTTGCAAGGTATTATTTGTTCTAAGTTGAAACGTCTCTTAAGCTGATTAAAGTTTTGTGCTGCGTGATGACGAAGGGCGATTAATTAACATTTGCGAAGGACAAGTATAACAGTATAGAGTAGGCTGACAACAGGTAACGTGTAATGTGATCTCTCTTGATTGAAGTTACGTGGTGGCGCTGGCATAGTGTAGGAGCTGCGTGATGATGAAGGGCGATTGATTATTATTTACGTTGAAGTTTCAGAGTACAAAGAAGGCTGTTGAAAAAGTGGTGAGTGCGGAGAGACAATGTTTAGTGGTAGCGATTCATTCGAGTACGAAGAGCTGTGTGGTAATGAACTGCGATTGTAAATCGAAGGTGAAATAATAGACTGAAACACTCGGCCGCGGCAATGACGATGTTTGTTTAATATTAATCCATGTATTTCGTACATTATCTCTTCTCTTTCGTCTTTAGGGAAATATTTGAGCTGTTTTGCCAGAAGTTTACAAAACAAATCAGCGTCATCATTTTCTTTATCTTCTCTATTTTTCTTAGTTTGCAACACACTAGTTAGTGTACTGAATGTAGCGATCATCTGCTTACTGGCTTCCTGTTATTCTGGTGGGTTTTTCGCTCGACCTTTCTGTACCACTTTAGAATTAGTTACAGGGTTACTGTTCTCTAAAGACGCTTGTGAGGCACAGTTTTCTGCATCCCTATTTTGCACTTCGGTAGTACTGCTACTTTCCACACAATCAAATTCATCAATGCCCATATCTTCCTGTTTGTCTTGAGTCTGGTACAAAATAATGTTTCTTTTTTATATATTTATATTATTATTTATTTATACTATATGTAACCGTTTTTTTCCTTCTAATACAACCAAGGACGAGTGGTTGTCTAAAGCAGAAGGTTTTAGTTTCCCTAACTGTATCTGCACTTTAGACGAAAAACATACCATGATTATAAGTTAGGTACTTGTTTTTTTATTTGTATGTTTTTATTTTTGTCATTTTTTTGGGTTTCACAAACAATTTTCGGCTTGGTAGAGCTCTATAAAATGAAAGGTTTCCTCCCTGGTCAATTATTACTACCATTTTATTAAAACACTAGTTACGTGAATATAAAATTTTAAACAGGTGCGTGCGATCACTCTGAGAGCTCGTAGCAAACTAAACGCTACAGAGTACTTTTTGTATACCTGAAACTAAACGCGAGCCCAACGTGTGGATGCGGCGACCAAATTGCCACAATTCCTTTGATTTTTTGTAAAAAACCGACACCACACTGATGTCGCGCCTACTTGTGGGCCACCATTCCAATACATACCGAGATAAGCACAAACACCCGCTCTACACGATGGCCAATGCTATTGGCCACAACATTCGCCACTATGTTGGCCAAAGTGTGGAGCCGCCGTAATACAACATTCCGAACAAGTCCGAGGAGACTAAAGGGGCTGCGACGAAAATCTGATATCCGGCCGGATGAGAGGTCAGCAGAAGGTCCAACAGGGAAGGTGCATGATTCTCCATATCTGGAAACCGCGTAGGCGAAGTAACCAGTTATGTTAGACCATATGCCAAGGCAAAATCATGAACAGATTTCCCCGCATGATCGGGTGAACGTGAACTAAGCCATTCGGTGTGGTGGGCGTTAAAATCGGCGAGGATCACGATCTCTGCGGAGGTGATCTGTTGTAGCAACGAATCTGTAGCCAATTGGACGTGAACGAGTCGGTCTGTTTCGGCATTACCGCTATGGGACCTACAGAGGCACCCGTAGACGCGCGAATGGTCGTCGCTGTCTACGCGGCGTAGCCAAAGGATGGACAGGTCCGAACCTTCAAGAGTGCCGAGGCGTCGAGAACAGATGTCCTCTCTGATGTATACGCAAACTCCAGCCCGAGGCACAAAGGAGTGTTCCAGTATGTACCCCAGGTAGGAGAGATACGAAGCATCAGCCGGAAAGGACACCTGCGTCTCGGTCCTGAGCACCCACGCTCAGGAGTGAAGTAACTTGGTCGTGGATGCTCAGCAAGGGATTCTCCAGGGGTGCCGGTACCCTCCTAGGGTAGATCTTTACTTAATTCAACTTCCATGTTAAGGGGGGGGGAGGAATAGGGCCTCCGACCACCTACACTCACCAGACGAAACGCGAAAGCAGAGCTTCCACTTCACGCCGGTATTCTGTGAGGTCATGGTACCACCCCGGTTTGAGCCAGCCCATATCTGTAACAGCAAAGATGGCGCGTGGCTCTCCCACTGTTAAATAGATATTATTAACAGATTCATATCAGTAAACTCAATTCCGCAAAATTTCACCACGAATTCGTCAGTATATGATTGTATATCAAGTCTTTCTTTAGTCTTAATGGATTCCCGCGTGAATATCGCGACACCGCCATGTAACGTGATTACGCCTAGCTGTCAGATCATAGCCCTCCAATGAGTAAAAACGGTAATTAGTGGGTAGTAACCAATGTGTGAACGTTACAATCACATCAATATCGGGTTCTGATAAAAATATATTTAATACATCTACTTTATTGGTAATGTTTTGGCACATAATAGTGAAATGTTTAGGCACGAAATGAATTATTATTTTGGTACAGAGCTACACAGAGTTACAGTCTTTAATCAATTACCTCAGAAATTTTTGACAATTATTTACTTCAATCGTTAATAACAATTTTAAAACTTTGATTATTTAAAGTGCCATTGAATAGAGAAAATAATTTAAAAGATTATTGAGTATTTCTATTTGAATCGAAAACATAATATTGATGTGTTTAATTATCATTGTTAAGAAGCTTATTAAAAGTTTCATTTCCTAGCATTATAAATGGTCGCAGGGTAAGATAATTTGTAGGTTGGTAGGCATAAATTTACATTTGTATGTTGTACTAACAGAGCTTGTCTAAGGGACGTACCCTTACAAAATCGGCATAGTTATCACATACCTCAAAATCAGACACACCAATTATTATCACACAATAGTCAGCCCATGTATAGTCTTTATGTAGACCGCATAGCAATTGTCTAATACCGCCGCCCGGCACACGATAATGATACATTTCACAATTTGTATTGAACTTTTTCCTTACTGTTCCAGCGAGGCCTTTTCGATCAATACTGCTGCTGAGGCACAGTTTAGATTTGTTTTCCTTCAGTTTCTTCAACTCTAGTTGTTGCATGTCTTGGTTCCGGAACATGTTAAACAAGCACCTTCGAGATGGTGAGGTCTTTGCGGCAGCACTTGTTCAGTTTGTGTCGTTGTATCGAGCCGATTATTTGTTTTTGGAAATAACTGTGGGTTCTACGTTATTGACGATATTTGCGTGAGTTAAGTTACTCCTTCGCTTTTCAATATTTAAAGATGACATGTTTGGCCCTTTTTCGTTGATATTCATATTAACATCCCCATATTTCACTTTTAAAACGTCGATGACCTTTTGTTGTTCCCTGTTTTTATCTTGATATGTTGTATTTATCCTGTTCAAAATGTTTCTCTCAGAATTTACCCTGTTCAATTCCTCTCGAAGTTTTTTATTAATTGCCTTCAGTTCTTCAACGTATAGTGAGTCTACAGAGGCAATATCTTTTGATCATTACAGGACTGGTATGTTTTATTCGAGCCTGGCGTTTTATTATTCTCTAGTTTGAAGGGGGGGGGGAATCGCATGCTGACAAATTAAGTAGTGAATGGTATTTTCTTTTTCGGAGTGTAATGAATTCTTTTTCTTCATGATCGCTTACTGTATCATCTCCTATTTTTTCAAATTAGAATTACAAAACTGGGTGTTAGATCCTTTTTCAAATGTCAACATAGCAGTATCACCCGAACTGGAAGAACTTGTAGAACTGACAACGAACGAGGAAATGAAAACAAATTCAAAAATTGCTACCGAGAATTTTGGCTACAAAAGTCAATCCCACAGTTGTACCCTGGATTGTGGTCGATCGTCCAACGATTTTTGATAGCATTCCCATCGTCATAACTGTGTGACCGTGGATTTGGCGCTGCGACAGTGCTGCTTACTAAAAAAATAAATCGTTTGCATGTTACCGAACGCGGTGATTTACGACTGTTTTTGAGTAAAATCGAACTTGATTTCAACAAACTTGTTAAAAATCATGAAATTCATCCATGTCATTAGATTAGTTTTAAAACTAAAATTGATTACCTATGGATATTCTTTCTTTTTATTTGATTATAATATATTCTTCATATTGTAAAGTTGCATTTTAATTGATCTCACTGGTAATAACGTATAGTTTAAAATGTAAGCTTAAACACCAGAACCGACTAATATAGCACACCATAACTAAATTAATTAAAGTAATGAAATTGTGGTTTTTAAGTTTTACGTGTTGAAAAAATTGGGGTCGCTGAAAATTAATTGATTTTCAAAGGTTAGGTGATTTTAAAAAGTTTGATAATCTCTGACCTACGCCTTCATTGTCTGGTGTAATAACGCCAACCAAAAGACGACTGCGGGCTTACTAAATAGTCTACAAAGGACTGCCTGCTTCATGGCAACTGGAGCGATGCAATAATCGCCTGGAGTAGCTCTTAATGCACTTTTGTGCCTAACGCCCCATGATCTTTATTTAGACTAGGAGGCGAGGGCTAGTTTGTATAGGATTATTTGTATAGGATTATATTTTGTGGGATCTCAAAAAGCCTAGCCTAATTGACCCTTGAAACTCTTTATCACAATAAATAACTTAAGATCTGGTCTGATACACCAACCAGGCTTAAAACATTTTAAAATCTTGATCGGGGTTTTGATCGTAAATTCGTTTCAGAAGCCCTGGGATTAGGTAAAAATAAACTGCGCATTCTGGCAAGAGCCCTGACTGGACACTGTTGTCTTAAAAAACACATGGCCATCCTGTGACTAAGCAACTCAAGGATGTGCCGGTTTTGTTCCTTAACGGTAGAAACCTCTGCCTCTGCACATACTGACTGATTGTGTACCCTTAATGCGCAGATGTAACACATCTGGGAAACTATCTACTTCACCCGGAAGAAGTGAAATTGCTCGCAGCTAAGCAACTCCTATTCATTGAAAACATAGGACTTAGCAGTGAACTATAGCCATAGCAGCGATCACAATAGATCTTTTAGATCGCAGTTTAGGTCAGAAAAAAGCTATGCAGTCTGAATCTATCAATTTACTAAAGGTATCGTATTGTTTGAAACTATTGTCAGAATTTTGAAACAGTACCGAGCCTTTTTATTTGCTCTAATAACAGATAGATCCAATTTTTAAGCTAGCCCGACCCCGAAGAAAGAAAATATTATTTATGTACGAAGCCGTAGGTGAGACCAACTGATCCTAAAGAATTGTTTAAAATGTACGTATAATAAATAGATCGTACATATACGTGTAATAGACCCCGCCATCTTCTTCTAACCTAACCTGTCCGAGTCGGGATGCCCTAGGTCCCGAGCTCGCTTCGTTCGATCTTACACTCAATAAAACATCATAATATTAACTTTTATAATTATTTTGATTTTCTAGAGCATTTATGATAACATTTAAAGTCAGAAAACCATATTAAAACTTTAAGTGAGATAAAAAATTAATAAACAAACATTTGTTTGTTTATTAATTGTGTTCGTTTTTTGTATAGATTAACAAAAAAATATATAAACTTCGTTTAATGCTTCGCAAAAAGTTATGAACGATTATATTCAAAACGGTCTTAGCATGTTTTTAAATCTAAATTCCTGTTTTATTTCTCATACATGCAGGTGTTAGCTTTTAAAATGTAGAGTCACTAGAACACGTTTTACGATATTGTTACGAGCTTATGGTTAGTGACAATAAAAACTGCTGATAGAATTACCAAAATTGACTCTTTAATTACCGAACACAAATTAAAACTTAAAACACACTAATAATTAATCACACTTAACACTTTAGTTAACTTTATTTCGCTCCGAAGTCTTCGCTTGTGTCGCAAATTCAATACTGCCTCGGTCGCGGTCCTTAACGCCTTTTTATAAGGACCTTTTATACGGAAACATCCCGAATGCTCAAGCAAATAACGGTTCCGATCGACTAGGTGTAGAAAGTTCTCTCCCAGTTTCGCCATTCGATACTAGATGGCACTAGTGCCGTATACCAGGCATCAACTATGGCACGCAACACGGGCAGTGTTTTCCTAAGACATGCTCGTCCCGAGCATTATTGGCCCCATAATAATGCGCCAGTCGATCCACATGGACGATCTTAGGAGTACCTCTTACACCTTTCTGAAATGGCTCCGCAACGTCAAGGGCTATCCTCTCCCATAGTGCACCAACATTGTACAATTTCAATGCATCTCTACTACGAGTCTGGGGTCCCTTCACAGCCGCACAACTTGTACATTCGCGACACCAATCCTCGACATCGTTACGACATTGGACCCAGTAAAACCGTTCACGGATCTTCGGTAGAGTTTACTCAACTCCCAGATGGCCTCCTGAACAATCATTACGGTACAGCTGTAGAACATCCGCTACTTTAGCTTTGGGGGTAACCATTTGTAAATGACACCTGTCTCCCCGACCATTTTCCCATTTACGGCACAGAACTCCATCCTGAATCAGTAATCTGTCCCATTGGGCCCAATATCTTTTCGTGGTTGTGCTCATCGCTGAGTCGTCGCTCCACTTGAGCTTGGGAGCACTGGCCTTCGTCCATTCCAGAATTGGCTTGATGTCCGAATCTTCCTGCTGTGCATGTTGTAGGCTGTCCTTCCACTTGCTGCTGAGGTGGCCTGTCCAGAGCATCATCACAGATATCACTTCCTTACTCTCTTGTATAGTAAAATGCTTGCCTTCTTGAGGACAAGGTCTTCTTGACACTGCATCTGCATTACTATGAGATGTCCCGCTGCGATGTTCGATCACAAAGTCGTATTCCTGCTGCTGCTGGGTGGTGCTGTTCTCTACACAACCCTCTAGAGATCGATCGCCTTTCCTTTTTACAGTTCACTTAGGGCAGCTGGATCGAAGATGGCCCCTTTCCCCACAACCATAGCAACTAGGGCTGTCTCCCTTATTGCGGTTACGAACTGTAGCTGCTGCAACCTCCCTGACGCGATAGGAACTATGATCCTGGCGCATGGCTTCCACCTCCAGGGTATGTGCCAAGGCTCCCTTAAACATCACGTGGTGCCCGAGCCTCACATCAGCTCTGACTTCCAGGTTGCGGATGCCGTCAATGAATGTCTGCACCTGGTTTGGTTCCCTTCAATGAGCGCAGGTACAGATCGGGATGCTTTTCAAACCAGCATCTCCACCTCAAGAGCCCACTGCTGCAGGTTTTTGTTGATGTATTGCACGCGATCTTTAAGCTGCGCACAAAGGACGTGTTCCAGGTGAGCATCGCCATATCTCGCCTCCAATGCCTCAAGGAGCTGCTCGTAAGTCACTTCCTTACTGAGAGCTTCTAGAACAGTTAAGGCCTGGTCGCGCAGCTGCAGCAGCAGCAGCAGCAGCCGTTCGTGTTCATGACAGCCTCGAACTGGATTTTGTAGGCCGACCATGAAGAAGTCCTGTTGAACGGCGGCCCTTTGAATCCACGTAATGAAGGTGTTGTAGCTACTACGGGAGCTGTAATTCCATCCCCAAGTTTGAGTTCGTCCAGCGTTTTCTTTCACTTGGTTGATTTGGGTTTCCGCTTCCGACAGGCGGTTTTCATGTTGTGCAACCTTATCCTTCATCTCCCTTATCTTTTTCCCGAAGGTAGCGTGAAGGTCCTTCATGAGGCGGATCGAACTTGATTTATTCGAAGACGGGTGCTTGCTCCTTGGCAAACACGGTTTGTTCAAAAACATGTATCCCTCATTATAGCGGTTAGCTAAGTAGGTACTTTAGTACAGTTTCTGTTTATTATGTGAAAATTTGAAACATTTACTAAAGCGTTTGCATGTCGTACTATTAAATATACATTTCTTGACATTATTCACTAGACTACCTACCATAATTCCACAAGATATTATCTGTATACACAAGCCTTGTACTAATCACAAAATTTATTCCGAGAAAACATCACAGAAATAAACATTAAAAGCTTAATTGTTTTTAAAAATGACCACTTTTAAGTTTTTAAGTATGTAAATACCTATTTATATTATGAGTAAAGTTAATTGGCCTTTAAACTTTTGCATAGGTAACAGATTTATAACGAGAAAAGAAAGCCGCTGCCTACAC